AGCTGCGGGACTATCCTGATATTTGATTCGAACATTATCCGTTGTAGTATGGTCAGAAAAAGATATCCTAAGGGCAGATACTAACTCCTATCTTGTGGTGATTCCCTCCTCAGGCTGGTTGTCGTCAGGTTTGCTGGGAGCGCGTTCAGGCACATGGGGTGCACTAATAGTGTGTTACTGTTTTTGACTATTGGTTCTTAACTGTGGGTGCAATTTGAAACATTTCTTTTGCTGGTGTCCAAACATCTTGTAGTGCTTGGAAAACTTTTGCAGGTAGACTTACTTACAGTTCATTTCTTAAGGCCTTTTATTGCAAGGATTTTGATTGAAAGAGATATTACACTATTAGATGTAGAATAAATCTAGCTTGGATCTGCTCATAATGGTTATTGGCAAAAACTTATTACGAAATAAAAACCATATATATATATATATACACACACACACCACTTTTATCTGCAATGGTTATTATGTTTATCAGTACCGATGCAGCAACTTATTGCTTGGAGGGTTTTAGGTCATTAACTTCCCCATCTTTTTGCTTTGTTTCCAATGTTTAAATAAGTATATGCATTTTTTATACATAAATGCATGTAGTTCAAGTACATCTAGGAAAATTAAGTGGCGTATTGTTCAAGTCTTCTGTATTAACTTTGCCTATGAAAACAAATAATAATGAATGGCCCTTATGTAAGATTTTATAAGGGTATGATTTCAACTTTGGATATATAAATGTATAAGAGCTGTATGGTATATTAAAAATAAAAAATCATGCAATGTTGGTATTTATGGTATTTAAACATAAAATTTAAGTTTCTTATTGTTTCTCTGTTAAGTTCAAACAGCTCATTTTGTTGATCTTTAATAAATGGGTTTAATGGCATAAGCACATTTTAAATTGGAAAGTTTGTGTGGACAGTGCTTCTTCATATACATATTTAGCCCTTAAAGTTTGAAGTTCAAAACTTAAGTTTGGATGGCTTGTGTTATAAAAGTGTTTAAGGATTATTCTTGTGATGTGAAATATTTGAATCGTTGGAGAATTCATATGGATTATTAGATTGGCCTATAAGTTGGAAAGTATGAGGGCTAAGAGCAATGATGTATAACATAAAACTTTTAGATGACCAAAAATTGATTATTAGTTGCCCTCTTCATTGTTGTAGGTTGTTGGCGGCTTTAACTTCACCTTCGAATGACTTGTGAATTATTTCTTTATAACATCAGTTATTTGAAATCTAGAAATTACAATGTTATAAAAAAAATCACATCTATGATCACTTGTCAGTCAGCTGTTAGGAATTTGAAGTTGCCCAACCTTAAGATGTTTTGCTGGTAGCTTTTGATCAATATTGATATATAGACTTTGATGTCTCAGTTACATGTGGGATTATGATGTATGAGAAGTCTAAAACTGAGCCCATCCCCAACTTAAATTCTTATACCCTATTATGATTTTCCATATGCCTATCACTTGACTCTTTTATGAAAATATACATGCTCAAGCTTTCTTACTTAAATGTCAAATGTTTGTCCAGCCATTTTCTTTTATATACACACTTTCATTATACAATAGTAATTCCTTTTTGAAGCATCATAAGAGGCGACATGTACGCACCGACCCATCCTCTTTTACTGCACTTTAGTGTACATATCTGTTCATACATGTGATATTATTATTGCTATTCTTTACTGTTTTTCTGACATGTTTATATAAAACTTTAGGATAACAAACATAAGACATATGTTTAGGATTGGAACCCTATATCACATAACTAACACACACTTTTTAATTTCAACACTTTTTAAAATTCCATAACAAAAAAATTATTATCAAAACTACAAACAATGTTTTTAAACTTCAATATACTAATAAAAACATAATAATAATTCGCATTTTTAGATTTGCAATAATCTCTTGAATAATGTAATCTACAATTGCTAATTAGAATTCTCTGATCTACATGAGTCTAACAATTTATTTAGACTAAGCAAATCCAAAATTAACAGTGATGCCAAGATGATGGAACTATGAGATCTTAATCGGTGTCACTTAACACAATTAAAATACTCCCCATCTTCTTTAATTATTTTTAACAACAACAAATGCCAATTCAAAACACATTGCAAAAGAACACATTAAATGTTTGGAATAAGTTGCTTAAGATATGCTTTCTCTTCTCTCTCCTCTTCTCAGAACAAGACAATGATGCGGGCGAGTGACGATTCGTCTACAAGCAACGATCAAGACTATAATAGAAAGTGGAAGGAGTAGCCTCAACTGAACTTTCATAGACTTAAATAACTTACACCCATAGGACTTTGAGGTTGTTCGTCTGGTACGTCTAGTACGACATAAATACTCACATTATATTTTAGGACTTCAAACGATTGCATATGTCGTATGATATTAGTCCTAAAATTTTAGGATTCTAAGGTTGTCATTTGGTACGACATAAATCTTTATTTTTTCTTGGCCATATGCATATGATGCATATATAAATCCCAAATTTCTAAATAATTTGCAGGATTAAAACATTACAATTTCTCTTTCAAAGATGTAAAACTAAATCATAGGTTAGTTTAAGATGTTATTGAAGCTTTTTAAGTATCTTCGACATCTCCTACTATTCGCTCCTCTGGGTTCCGAAAATAACTGTTTCATATTAAGCCATTTTCATTTGTATTTTCTATAAACAATTATGGAAACCTAAAAGTTAAATTCTTGAAGACGAAACCCCGATCTTAACCGAGAGTTTTTGTAAGTGATTTCGGTCTTTTAAGATATAATTAAATATAAATGTTCGCCTTTATAGCGAATTAAAAACCTAGATTAATCTAAATTCTGTCTAATTCTTATAATAGAAAGGGGAATTGTCGGTCATAAATTTTGCAGACCAAAATAGAGTCACAAACTTCTTAGTTTAATAGTTAAGCCTACTAACAAGTGATACACTTATCTTACAAGATGATATATCGTTTGTGGTATCGTGTTCAACTATCTAAACTATTAAATATGTGAGATCTATTCGATATCATCTTTCAAAATCAAAATATTATTTTTTAAAATCAAAATTATATAAATATTAAACTAAATAACTTTTCAAAATTCCAAAAAAAATCGAACAATAATTAGCTCTCTAAGAATTGACATGGTTTTCATGACACCATCAAAACTATAGAATTAAGGTATTATTTGGGTCACTCTCATCCAAAACATACTGAGATCAGGATTACTTTTAGTGTAAATTACTTAAGTTATTATTATTATTATTATTATTATTATTATTATTATTATTATTATTATTATTATTTGCAATGGCATCATAAGCTACAAAAATTAAAATGCTGCTTAATATGAAGAGTCACAATTCTAGATTTCTCATTTCATTCAACACAAACGATATGAATCGCTAGACATCGTTAAAATTGTCATCATCTTGATTGCAACTCACATTTACACGTCCAATGCCTCAATATCCATTTAATAGGTTGACATGGTGTAATCTCTTTTAAGCCAGATCACATAAATCTTAGTTTCTTCTTTAGAAGCAATTATTAGGTGTGGACTTCACACATTTGGATTTCGTTGTATTTTGGTTACATTGATTGCCAATGCAAATGCAACCAAAATACAATGAAACCCAAATGTGTGAAGTCCACACCTAAATATTTTTCCTTCTTAGAGTGAAAACTCCAACGCATACCTGAATGCATTATTTTAAAAATCACATCGAACTAGCTTAATCTAACTGATTCAATTATGAACTTATTCACCTTCAGAATATTATCTGCTAGGTCGATGATTACATGTACCATTTTTATTGAGAGTGTTCATATTTTTTTTAAATGTTTTTCAATCATAAAAATTAATTTTAGATTAACATAACATTAAATAACTAATATTTATAACATTCTTATATTGAAATAATTTTGTAACAAAAAAATCCATCCTATTACAAATTTACATTATTATTATTTTTTAAATTGTAAATAGATTAAGACTCATTACATTAAATTTACCTTTTACCAAAACAATTGATTGAAGATCGCAATCAATTAATTTCCAATCAAATTTATGTCACTAATTTTAAATCACACTTTAATATAAATTATAACTACTTTATAGATAATTAAATGATCCTAAGATACTCTCCTCTAATAGATAGCTCCTTTAATTCTAGGGAAATTTACATTCACAGCACACGATTCATATTTATTTATGAAAAAGTATTGCATCAGGACTCCACACATAGAGTTACGTGCGGAGTACAATGAAATTATGCCACGTGGAGATGATAGAAAAAAAATCGACCCGGTAACACAAGAAAATATTCCCTTCGTGTTATTCAGGCGTTATTGTATATTATTCAGGTGTTATTGTGTTATGAGAATATTCCTGGTGTTATAATAACGTAATAACACGTTAATAACACTCAAGTAACACACAATAACACCTGAATAACACACAATAACACTTGAATAATACGAGAGGAATATTCCCTTGTGTTACCAGACAAATTTTTTTTACGTGACGTGATTTCATTGGACTCCGCACGTAACTCTACGTGCGGAGTCCTGATGCAATATTTTCTCATTTATTTATATATCCCACACCTATTTTTTCATATTTGCATACATAACATTTTGATATTTTAAACATATGGATGAAAAATAAACATTTGGCTTTTAAAAAGTGACAACAATACTATTTTTAATTTAATATTAAAGATTTGAGACTTATGTGTGTAAATATAAAAATTTCTAGGTGAGATATGTAAATTCATAATAATAATATACTAAAAAAACAGTTTTTTTTTTTTAATCTAGATATCTATATATTTTTTTTCTAAAATAAAAACAAAAAAGAAGATTTACATGCATACCACCCAATTTGTATGTATTTAGCTATTTAAAGGTTAAACGTATAAATACATAAAAATTAGGTGGCATATATGTAAATAAAAGCAAGTTGCCCAAACCTCAGATCAACTAACCCGCCTACTAAAATTCCATTCATCCACTAAAGCCCCACTCCCCATCCACAAACCTCATCTTAAAACCAAACCCCCCACCGACAAACAAGTTAACAAATCATCGGTTTCCTTCTTCCCAAATCACGCAGGTGTTCTCCGTCTCACGCCATGGATCTGCAGCTGGAGCAATTGGAATCCTTGGGCTCCATCGACGTTCTCCGTGAATCCGCAGAGATCCCTCGCGCCGCTCCACGCACCTTCGGCCTGCTCACGCTAGCCCTCGTTTTTCCCCTTTCCTTTGCGATCCTCGTCCACTCCTTATTCACTCATCCCCTCCTCGTCCGCCTTGAGCAATCCTCCGCTTCGTCCCACTCTTTCTCCGGTTGGTCTTTGCTTTTCTTCTACCAGTTCGTTTACATCATATTCCTTTTCATCTTCTCTCTTCTGTCCACCGCAGCCATCGTGTTCACCGTCGCGTCTCTCTATGCCGCCAAGCCCGTCTCGTTCACTTCCTCCCTTTCCGCCATACCCCCGATCTTTCCTCGCCTCTTCCGCACTTTCCTCTGGGTCTCCCTTATCATGTTCCTTTACAATCTCGCCTTTGCTTTCTGCCTCGTTATGCTCCTCGTTGCCTACCCTTCGTCGGATTCTCCTATTTTCCTTGTTATACTATCACTACTAATCGCCGCCTTCATCGCCGTCCATGTTCTTATTTCTGCGCTCTGGCACCTCGCATCTGTTGTCTCCGTGCTCGAGCCCATCTGCGGGCTTGAAGCCATGCGGAAAGCACGCCAGCTCCTTCGTGGACGGGCTCGCATGGCTGCTATACTCATCACCGGCTATCTGTCAGCCTGCGGGCTTATCGGCTGGGCTTTCCGTGCCTTGGTCGTCAAGGGCCCTACAGAGGAGGGTAGCTTCGGGCTTGGCATTCCAGCTAAGATCCTCGTTGGCGGAGCGCTTGTTGCAGTCCTCGTCCTCATCAATTTTGTCGGTCTATTAGCTCAGAGCGTGTTCTACTATGTGTGCAAGAGCTACCACCATCAGATGATTGACAAGAGTGCACTCTATGATCATTTGGGAGGATATCTTGGTGAATACGTGCCGCTCAAGAGCTCGATTCAAATGGAAAACATCTGAAAAATAAATTGTAAGAGTTAAAAAATTTAGGTGTATTTCTTTCTTGTGTAATTATGCAGTGGTGGGATTGGAGCTAACAATTATAGGTTATCGTCTGTCATGTTTATTTTTATAGATTTTAATTATCTGGAGCACTTGTACTAGAGGAGTTGTGATTTTTTAGTTGGTTGCGGCTTAGTCATACAGGAGCAAACTAATTTGAGTTGCATAAATTGACATTTCATTTCCAGTGTTGTGGTTTTTTGGCACATTGTTCTTTCTAATCTGATAGATATTACAGGAGGAAAAATGATTAATCTTTTTGGGGTGTTTATAAACTGTTAGGATTTTTAATGATCTGATTTCAAGCATATTTGATCTTGGTTCTAGATCTCCTCGAAGTTATTTGTTCTAACTATGAGTCAATCTGACCCTGCATCAAGGAGGGATTATTGCGTGCGTTTTTTTTTTTAAAAAAATTTAAAAGTGGGCCTACTGACATACACTTTTTGGTAAGGAGGAGTTTTTATGGCGGACGCAATAATTTTACTGCTTCAAGATAACCTTTAAGTAGTTCCATCTGAGCTTGAGGCGTCCACAATATTGTTCTATTATGGCTAGATCCAATTTTGATTTGAACTTTGCATAAGTCAATGACTTTGATTCAAACTTGATTCGAGCCTAAAACCATCTAAAACAAATTCTTAGTTCAACAAACATGCATATATTGATTCATATATATTGAAACAATGGATATGATGGTTAATGGGTTTGTGAATCTAGCTAAAAATTTGAATCAACTCTTACTTTGGATCAAAATCAACAAGCCAACTAATGAGTCAATCTCAGCTCAAATCAAACTTGAATTGAACCAAGCTCAAGATCAAATTAAAATATATATGCACATATCTCTAAATCTACATATGCAAATGTTTGCGTATATTTAGTGTTGAGTCAGAGTATGTATGCATCTATATACAACAACAACAACAACAACAACACACCTTTATCCTACTATATCTATATATATATATAGATATAGTAGGATAAAGGTGTGTTGTTGTTGTTGTTGTTGTTGTATATAGATGCATACATACTCTGACTCAACACTAAATATACGCAAACATTTGCATATGTAGATTTAGAGATATGTGCATATATATTTTAATTTGATCTTGAGCTTGGTTCAATTCAAGTTTGATTTGAGCTGAGATTGACTCATTAGTTGGCTTGTTGATTTTGATCCAAAGTAAGAGTTGATTCAAATTTTTAGCTAGATTCACAAACCCATTAACCATCATATCCATTGTTTCATGTGGGGTCTGGATTAAGTAAATTGATTAAAAACTTCTTTAATGTCTACTTTTTTTAATATAGTTCACATGGTGTGTGTGGGTGTGGGTGGTGTGGGGGCGATTTTGGTGAATTAGATATTAGAATAAACATCGGAGTTGAAGATTTTGGTGAATGATAGAGTAGTTCTAGCTCTACTATTTTCTATGTTTTGTTTTGTTTTTCAGAACTAACATGTTTTTAATAGATTCATTATCAACTTCATTATGATCATTAACCTAATCTAAACTATTTGGGGCTGGCTTTGTCAAATCTTTTTTCTTTATTCATTCTTAATGTGTACCATATGAGGTGTTCAATCCTTCCAATTTCTAATATATTAATTTTTTTTTTTCTTTCTCCTTGTAAACTTTTCATAGTTATTTTATTTTTTTATCTTACTTGCTAGTCTTCTATTTTTCATTATAGATACATAAGCTACTCAAGGTCATTTGGCAGTAAATAATGATGTAGAAATTAAATCCCAAAAGCAAGGGTTGAATTTGAAATCGGAAACAATTGCTTAGTTTAAACTCAACATGAAATCAGAATCATTCAACTTGATTCAATGAATTTGATTTTGAGTTTACTCAAAATTTATTTAATTAAGAGTGCACTTGTGTGTGTGCGCGTATAATGTTAAATTTTGTGCTATTATGTCAATACATTACATAGAAATTATGAATATTTATTTTGATTTCATATTTCAAGTTGACTTGAATTATATTTGAGCAATTCAATGCAATATAGTTTAGAGTGGGGTTCGAAGTTGAGGTAAGTCAATTTGGAGTTGATTCAAACTGAATCAATTTTCTAGCGAGGTTTGAGTTTTGCAATTTTTATTAGCCTTATCCAAACCATAAAATATTTGAGACTACTGCCAGTGGAAATCTCTCCCAAAATTGACAAGCTTTTTCGCAGAAATTGGGCAAATATAACTGTCCTTCAATAATCTAAAGAACTCAACAAGAATACAAAGATAAACACCTACAATTCAAGAGGTAGGCGATCTCTCTCAATTCCTACAATTCGAGAGGTAGGAAATCTCTCCCAAATCCAAAACCTAAGACTAACAATCCAATCTCATGCATCCCCCAATGGATGCTCTGAGAGGAGCTTCTTGATGTTGGATGATTTCATCCTCGTATTTCTCTAGTATGATCTTTTTTTCCTTTCGATTTAGCCAATGAATCTCTGATCAAACCTTGGTTAGGGTTTGTAAACTGAATTGTTAGCGGGGTCTTAGATTGCATCTCAAAAAACTTCATCAACATCTCTTCCAAGCTCTTGAATCGACCCTCAAATCAGTTTTCCATGGATAAAAAACTTTTCTTATATGATGGAGAACTGTTACTCCAACCCATATTTGATTTGACTCAGAGTTTCCTCCAAGTTTTTCTCCTAATCATTTACTTTTTTTGCTGTCATCTCTTCCAGAAAAATTTTTGATGTCAAATGGCAAAAAGTATATACCCTGAAATCCTGTCGTCACTTCTCAACTAGCTCTTATCACAACTGTACCTCAAATTAATGTCCTCGAATCACTTCAATCCCGTTGTTGCTTCCCAGGTAGCACCTATCGCGACTGTATGTGAGATTCAGTTACACGAAGATGGATCTTGTAGCCGCAATCCCGTCTTAGGCTTCTCAGCTATTTGAATCTCTAATGTGACACTTAATTAGGGCACTGTACGTTGCAATCCCTCTCATGCTTCTTAGCTGACTCGTTTCGCGATTGTATCGCACAGATTGACCCTATCCCAAAAGATAGGAGCTTCAGATCTCTGTTCACCATGATGCCCTCGGCCTGGAAGATGGGAGCTTCGAGTCTCTATTCGCTGTGTTTCTTCCCAGTTAACTCCAATTGCGATTGTTTCGCGAGTTTAAGTCACTGGTATGCCGCGATCCTTCCCCACCACGCTCAAATCGTGACTGTATCGCCGCCTGCACACTGCAATCTAGCTGTTACATCCTATGTCACGACTATTTTGGAACTGAATGCCGCAATCCAGCCAGGACGACGAAGGCTTCTGGCTCTGTCTTGTATGCTAGTGCGCAGAGATCTTGTTGACTTCGATTAGATCCCGTCTGTGATCTCCTAGAAGTCGACTACTCTGATACTAAATTAATATTATCCGACATCAAAATCAACATGTTTTTGCACAGAATACAAAGATAAACATACTTTTCTGTCAATAATCCAAACAACTCAACAAGAATACAAAGATAAACACCTATAATTTGAGAGGTAGGTGATCTCTTCCAATTTCTACAATTTGAGAGGTCGGAAATCTCTCATAAACCCTAAACCCTAAACCTATGACCCACATCCCAATTTTTCTTTCAATAATCCAAATAACTTAACAAGAATACAAAGATAAACATCTACAATTCGAGAGGTAGGCGATCTTTCCCCCAAGTTTTAGAACTCGAGAGGTAGGAAATCTCTCACAAACCCATAAACCAAAGACTCACACCCAATCTCATGCATCCCCCTAACCCTGAACTTAATAAGCCTATTTATATCCAACAATAATAATTATAAAAGACTAAATTATCCTTAGGCATACGAAAGAAAAAGTTGTTCTCGGGCTATGCACCAACGTAACAATACTTTCCCCGAAACACACCTTGTCATCAATGTGGAAAAAAATGAGAGTGTTGCACCTCCACCAAATCTGTCTCTATTTCTTCATCCTCTGCCTCTTCGTAATGCATCAAGAGACCTTGGAATTTTCGATACTTTGTCAAAGTTTTGAGAAAAATAGGCTGAATTCTGAATAGGCTCAATGTCTTTTTCCCTTTGCTTTCATTCCATTAAATAATAATCTTACAATTTATTTTAGGTACAAAATAAAGTGCATAAATCTATTTAATAAAGTGCATAATCTATTTTAGGTAACTTAATAATATATATTCCTAATCTGAACATTCATCTAAAAGGGAAATAAATCGTAATAAAGACATTGGAAATAATTTAAATAAGGAAGCTCCTAATTATAAAAAACTCCTAATTTAGCTGTCTGATTTCTGTTCTTCCTGATTGACATTCCCCCTCAAATTGATGTTGACTGATCAAGAAGCACTGATCGACTGATCAAGAAGCATCAATTTGCCAACAAGAAACTGATAACATTGTCAGAACAAAAAGTTCTTAAGCCGTGAGTGCCGAAGCCTGAGAGTGGCGAAGCCCGAGAGTGCCGAAGTCTAAGAGTGCCGAAGTCTGAGAGTGCCAAAGCCCGAGAGTGTTGAAGCCGTGAATGCCGAAACCTAAGATCTATGGTTTGCCGAAGCCGAGGTCATCGATCTAAGAAGGAGTGCCGAAGTCGAAGCTTAAGCGGACGAAGCGAAGCGTAAGAAGCAGTTGAAAGAAGCAGCGATGCCTAGCGAAGAAGATCCGAATCGGACAAAATAATACAAACATAAAAGCCATTTTCAACCCAAGAATCCTTGTATTCCACAATAAATGAATTTTTGCATTTTAGAATAAGTTCCATCTCTTGGCGTGCAAACCTTTGTTACGCCAGTACCTAGAAGATCCCCGTATCGTTCATATCTCCCGGTCGGATCCACCTCCTCGAATGGCTCTGCGTCCTTGTCCATCGGATCCGGCCTTACTCTTCGCATCCTTCCTGGATTTGCGTCGCCTATCGCAATCCAATCCAAAACCCTTCTATCGATCAAATGAATACAGAAGAAGCACAAATAAAAAGAAAATTGGATGTCCTGGATTCTCTCAGGTGTTGGTTTCTATCAGCCATCAATCGTATCGCAGAATATGCGGGGGCGATCCTCTGCTTCGATTCCGTGAGAGACAACAAGCAGTCGCAAAACCTTTATTGAAAGGCTCCTGAAGAAGACGATGGGCAAAGCTTAGAGGCCATACGAGGGAGCTTTATTTGTAGTTGAAAAATTAACCACGATTTGAAAATCGGAGGACGACGTAGCCAAAGCGAACGAAGGAGGACGAAGCAGCCCGGGATGAAACGGTAGAAGGCGAATCGAAGGCAAAGAAATAATTCCTCCC